AAAAAAAAGGAGTTCAGTTATCCCAAGATATTTTTGTAAATACCTTATACCGTCCATCAAATGCTGGGATAATAAGTGGTGTGTTCAAAAAGTATCGAACCTTTGGTCGGCAAAAATACGTTTATTTATTTGGAGGTACAAAACCCTAATCCCCTTCAAAGTAGTCTCCTTGGTAATGCACAGACTTCTCCCAGCGCTTCCGCCATTGTTGGAAACACTTCTGGAACGCGTCTTTTGGAATGGTGATCAGCCGGGCCGTCCCATTCCGCATGATGTCTTCTCTTGACTCAAATCGGGTTCTTTCAGCGGCATATTCAGCTTGGGAAATAACCAAAAGTCACACGGAGCCATGTCGGGGGAGTAGGGAGCCTGATGAACCACAGGGATGTTGTGTTTGGCGACGAAAGTCTGAATCAAATGCGCAGAATGCGCGGGTGCGTTATCATGATGGAGCTGCCAAGTTTTTGCTGCCCACAGATCCGGTCATTTGCGCCGCACAGCATCACGAAGGCGACGAAGGACCTCCTGGTAGCATTCCTTTGTGATGGTTTGGCCTTGTGGTGCGTACTCATGATGCACAACCCCACGGGAGTCGAAGAAAACGGCCAACATGACCTTGACATTGCTGCGGACCTGCCGTGCTTTTTTTGGCCTCGGGGATGTCGGATGTTTCCACTGTGACGACTGCATCTTGGTTTCCGTGTCGTACCCATAAACCCACGACTCATCGCCTGTGATCACGGTGTTCAGAAAGTTGGGGTTACTGTTTGCATTGTCCAGCACGTCCTGTGCGATTTCCAGATGGCGTTGCTTCTGCTCCATTGTTAGCAGTTTCGGTACGAATTTCGCGGACACTCTCCTCATGCCCAAATCATAGTTGTCTTGCCATTCCATGTTAGATATCATATGCAGTGATAAGTCGTCATTGAAAGAACAAGTAAACAGAACTGGTGTGCTGGATTTGAGTTGGCCGTGAAGAGGTACTACATCTTGGATGTTACACCATGTAGTTTGGTGAAATTCACCAGACATTTCAGAGGAGCAGATCATCTCCATTTTCAGCTTCAAAGACAGAGGCAACCAAGAAACCAACATGGAGCACAGTTTGCTGCCTGCTTCGCCCTGTTCTCTTGCTTGGCTTCATATTCAGCCCTGAAGATGGAGGTGACTTGTTTATCAGAAACTTCAATTTACTTTCACAAGACTACATGGTGTTGTATCCTAGGAGATAGAACTTTTCAGACCTGCTCACTTTTTATCCTCTCTAATTCATCATTCCTTGCTATATAATCTCTGGGAATATGTATGAATTATGGAAGTTAGTGTAGTTAGTGTTGCAGGGTTGCATCAGTTATGAAGACAAGATTTCAGACATTTTCTTTGTAATTATGTAATATGCTGTTTAGCATTTTTCTCTGCTTTTGGACCAAATTTAATGATAATATCCCTAATTTGTATTTGGGAGGCTGGCTGCTAGGTTTGGGACTCTGCCATTATGGGCCACATGTAATGAAGGCCAGTGCAAGATATGAAGTTCTCATTTTGGTGATTCATGAGATGTTTTCTGAAATATGATGGGTTCTAGTGTGTTGGATTGATACCAGCATTTCAGAGGAAGACGGAGGCAGTAGGTTGGAAATGATACACCAGACTACAAGGCATCACATGCCAGAAGACTTCTTCTTTGAGGCATTGCTCTTAAATGAGCCATGGCTGTTTGATACCAGTTTTTTACAGTTCATCCACAGTGATTCTGTAAACTCACTTGATGTTAAATAATCTCTGTAGTTGATACCCTGTTACTGAATAACCTGTGTAGAAACCATATCCACTTTTTGAAGAAAAGGGTAAAGGACTGAAAAGGTTTGTTATCACCATCCCAAAATTTGTGTAGTTGGGCTTCATTTCTACTGTCAGTTTATATGTGACTGGATACCATTCCACAAGAATCTTCTGAAACCACCTTGTATCTTTTAAGTCTGTACTGCTTACTTGAGACTGAAGAAGTTAGTCTAATTAAATTTTGAAGAAACATTCCTGACTCTGTGTATCTTTTCTTCACATAGCTGACCTTAATTTTTTCTGTTTGTTGTGTTGTGACAGTCAATAAAGAGTTGTTGACGTACTTAACTGTACATTTCAAATGTTAGGCACACACTGTTCATAGTGGATGAAATGGGTATAGATGAGTGTTGTTTGTGTATGCACTTTGACAGAATTTTATTTTGGGAGAGGTATTTATAACTCATTCAACATAATCTGTTTTGTTATACACATTCATGAAAGAAAGACTATGATGGTAATAGAAATATTGGCTAGTTCAAAAGGTTTTGATGGATAGTGTATTACACTAGGGAGTACTGAGTTTGTGAACTTGTCCATCAACAGATATTCTGAGGGAACAGAGTATTTTGGAAACTCGATTAGTTTCTGTTCTTGAATGAAGAGGTAGGGAGGCATGTACTCACTTTGGTCCTTTAGAAGGAGCTAAAGTGAGTCACTGCACTAGGTATCTCCCATCCACATCACACACATTAGCACACCTAAAGACTTCTATGTAATGTGCAGATCTGTATCACATAGTTCTTTTATTGAGAAACATCTCATGTTGTGAAGTATTTTGTCTGCAAACTCAGTGGTATGCTGGTGCACATGCAACTAACAGGATCTGCATGAATGAGGAAGGAGAACAATCCATGCCCCAAATTGCTTTCTTCCCTTTGTTCATTTTGAATCTTGTCCTCAGTGGTCTTCTTCCCATAAAACTGCTGACTCTGGGTCCTGCATTTTACTCTTGTCCATTGTTTCAGTAGTATACATTCAACTGACCTTCTGACCATAGAGTCCTGGAGGCTTTCTTTCTTTGTGAGTAAAATTCGTTGACTTCAAAATAGACCATTTGCCTCCATTTAGAGCTAAAGTTGTTTGCCTCTTCCCCTCTGAATCTCTCTTAACTTCATTCTGTGTATTCTTTGCTATTGATATTTTGTCATTAAGAAACTGAGAAATCAGTCAGCCAGTCAGTTGACCAAGATGAACACCAGTTAAATCTGGTAAGGTCAGAGACAGGAAACGATAGACAATGACAAAATGTTTGAACATATAAATGAAAACCAAGTACAAATATGATATTTAAATTTGAAGATGAAAAATATTTAACATATGACTGACACTTAACAACGACTGAAATGAATTAAAAATAAATTTTGAAATGTCTAGGTATTCCTGTTACATTTTTATTCTGTTAAGTCTGTTTTGGAAGTGTCCACTAAGGAAGACATGATTGAATATTGGGCTGTTTAACATCAACTACGAAAGTTATATGGCATTAAGAGAGATTATAAATGATCATGAATGATGGGAAGACAAGAGGTAGCCAATGTCTGTGTGAAAGTACCATCCCTATATTTATCTGGATGGACTGAGAAGAGGTACAGAAACTTAAGTTAGAATAGCTAATAACCTTGCCAGAACTTTAATCATTTAACTCCAAATTGCGCACAGATCAAGAGACTACACTCATCTGTTCAGTGATCATTATTTATGTTTGTGATGTGTGGTACTAATTAATTGGAGTTAACTGTACATGTTCACATATCTCTTTCCAACAGGCAAGCAGCAAATCTGGAAGCAGTGGAGGTGGCCCTCCTCAAGCACCATATTACATGACCCATTCGTACCCACCTGGAGGAACACAAGGGGCACCAGGAGCCTCTGCTACCCTGCCTCGAGGGGGCCCGTTACTGAGAGCCTACTCCCCTGCTGTGGCTCCTGTGCCAGCAGATAGAATTAAATCACTGCCTCAAACAGGTAAACGTTAGAGCTTAATTTCTCTCCTTTCTCCTGGCCTGACCAGTGACCCATGGTCGACTGGACAGAACGCAGACCAGGTCTCTCACCAGCTCTCTCCTTGCAGCAGCTATCTTATGTAATCATAAACATTAAACTGATCTCCATTGAATTTATCAACTCTTACATTACTATATAAGAAGCCCAAGGAGCTTCAGAGTGTGAATAGTGTTTTTCATTTAGCAGTTATGCATGAAAAATACTATTCACACTCTGAAGCTCATAGTGGTTGGGGCACTATGCTACAAGGTCGCACGTTCAAATACCGATGAGGTCATTGGATTTTTTTCAATTGACCTAATCCTTCTGGCCGCACTATGGCCCTGGGGTTCACTCAGCCTCTAACAGAAATGAGTACCAGGAATTAAATAAATAATTTTCCTGGGGAGTAAAGCGTGGCCGGCGTGTAAGGCTGACAACCTTACCGCCATCTTTGAGCTGATTGTCTAGAAAATGTGGGACCCTCAACGTCTCACAACCCTATGGGCCTTCACGTCCTGTTACAGGGATACCTTTACTTTACTTTAATTTACTTACTTATCCATTGGCTAGTTTCTCTTTGCGTGAAACTGTTGTATATGACGTTGGATAGCTTTTATGGTAGAGTACAAAAGTGTTATGGGTTTGCTTTTTTTTAAATTAAACAAGAAAGTTAATACAGGGTGGGGTGCAGAAACTTCCTTTTTTTGAAGGCGAATAAAAGAAAAATTATTGCTGATAGACAAAATTTAAAGTTTTAAATCATGTAGTTTTAAAATATCTTGAAGGTGGTGGCCACCGTTCTCTATGCACCGATGCAACCGTTTTCTGAAGTTCCCCTCTGCACGTTCCAACACGTGCACCGGATTTTGGGCTACTTCCTGCCGAATAACATTCTTCAGCTGAAGCAAGTTTGTGGGGTGAAGTTTAAAAACCTCTGCCTTGAGGTATCCCCATAAGAAAATCACAGGGCGTTAGATCAGGTGAGTGCGCTGCCCACGGGATGTTGGAACCAGACATTTCCTAGATGCATTTCTTTAAGAGCTGGTTCGAAAACGTTTTT